ATCTATATCTAAATGAAATAAGTCTTTCCTGAGTCGCTAGAGGTATCCAAAAAGTGATAACAAGTTTTTAGGTTTTCAATGGTGAATTTTCACTAAAAACTGCCTAAATCATAAAAAATTCATATCTTGCAAAAGCTTTGGTTTATAAGCCTAAAAGTGTCGCAGTGAGTAGACAACATCTATCTTCAACTGTGGTGAAAATTTCCGACTCCTAGTTGATCATGGCCTTGAGCTATTAATTAATTATTATTAATGGCATTTTCATTAATTAACTCATATCTCCGTCAAAAAGGCGCATGGGCCCAAACCAACTTGGGGTTTTTCACTGCTGACTATTCTTTACATGATGCAAATAGTCTGAGTCGAAAAGCTTTTAATCACCTCGAGAGGTTCCCTCGTAAGACTTACCATCTAAATTTGCTTGTTTATCATTAAGTGAAGCAATAACAATCAATTGAATTCGTTTAATACTTTCTCTTAATTCAGTATCATTAAGTGCTTCAACAATCGGATATAAATTTGTTTTATGCTGAATCGTTGAAGATTCTTCTTCATCTTGAGTTTCTCCTCTTTCACTTTTTCCAGAAGCTAAACAAAGGAGAGTCAAAAAAAGAAACATTGTCTTCAAATCTATTCAAGGATTTATTTTCTTATTTGTTAATCTTCATATTCCAGCGTGAGATGATTGTAAAATTGTTGAAATGTTATGAATTAATACTGAAAATGTTAAATGTAATTGTTGACTTATTTCAATAAACTATTCGGGCTATAAATATTCATCTTTAGCTATTAATAATAATTTTGGTAATATATAAAAAAGCATTTGAAATGAAAAATCTCGTAATTGGATCAGATTGACAAAGAAATAAACTTTGAAGTTTTGTTATATATCGACCAAGTCTATAAATAATAAAATAAAAACAATAAACTGTTTGATACAAAAACAAAAACTTTACTCAGATTTTTCATCATTCTGTTAAGTGGTTAGATATTCAAGAACAGCATGGTTGATAATGCTCTGTACAATGGTAGAGAAGAAGGAAGAAAACGCAATGGGAGAACACCAGCACTGTAACACAAAGTGATGTGCCTCTGGATTACGCTCACATAATCAGCTATGGAACATCCTAAACTATTACTCATTTTCTTTTTCATTTTTGATGTACAGTACGCCTTATACCACTCGGCCATTCTACTTCGGTATCGTCTTCTCTTTTACCAGTCTGAATATTAGGCAAAATCTCAAACTTGTCAAAAAATAAATAATTAGGAAGTATCTCATCAAGCAAGCATCCGAGAGAGTTATGGCTGTAACAAAAATGTTCAAATTAGATTCTGCATCGAATAGAAGCCAGAGAGGTCTACAAAAGTCATAGTTAGCGAGGAAAAGTAATTACTGTTTTTCTCAGCAGTGCGACATCGTGGACGTTCGAGCACACAACAAAAAGATGTATTCTAAACAAAATAGGACACCACCGATTATCCTATAATTTTCTGGAAAATGCGTTAATTAGCGAGAGAAACGCTAATTTTGATAATTGGTATTTTTTACTCAGAAGGAAGCATTTAGTAGATTTGGTGCCGCAACCAAAAATGTCAGAAATAAAATTTAGCATATTTTATTTGCTGGTATCAACTTTGCACGATATTTTCGCTACAAGAAATAAACTTTCTTGCAGGTAATCGTAAAAACAGATTTTTCTTGCAACAGGATAGGTTTTTGCATCAAGAAACACCCAAGGAAATTTACATTTTGATTCTTACCCAAGGAATGCACAAGAAAACCCAAGAAATATTTCTTGCCGAAGAAATGTCCCAAAATCTTGCTTTCTTGGCTTCAAGAACTTTCACTAGAATTATCTCTAATAAGTCATGTGTGCGCAGAATATATAGAAACTATGGTATACTATTAATTTCTTAGAACGCTCTAATATATATGAGAGAATGTATCTATGTGTATGCTTTCTAGAAAATGTCTCATATTTTCAAGGATTTTGAACATCTTGTTTTTTGTCACCAAACATGTGTTCTAAGAAATTAATAGTATACCATAGTTTCTATATAGTCTGCGCACACATGACTTATTAGAGATAAGCAAAGGTTTCCAGAAGACGAATGTCAGTTATCTGTAAAATCACAATACTGCAGACAGGCAACAGTTCTGAGCCTACTCTAACACCTTATTGGAAAGAGAACAATTTTCTCTCTCGAATGAGATAATAAAGTTCATTTGCTGATTTAATCTGAATTTTTTAGAGTGGCTTAAATAAAAATTATTTTGAATGTAAATCATCATGTTTACAAATAAAAATAATTAGTTTGCAGTCCGTAATCTCAGCTTTAATTTAAGAACAGATTTATTGAGAATACAGGTTTCAAAGATGAGAAAGTTAATTTTTACTAAAGGAGAGTGAAAAGCCCAAAAAGTAAAAAAAATAGAAGGAAAGGTGACCTTATCAATGTCATTCATAGAAACTAGATGTGTAAAATCAAGATCAAAATTAAGGTACTTCTGGTCTCTAGACGATCTATCTAACGAATCTAAATTATCTCGCAAGCGTGGACGGATACTACCCGGATCTGCTCTTAAACAGTATAATGCACCATTATAGTAAGAATCAATGTGATTACGTCACACACACGTTGAACTGACATGTAGATACCGTAATATATTTTCGATAGAAATATAATGATGAGAATATTGCGCATCAAAACATCCAATATATCGTCGAAATATAATCGAATCTCTTCTTCTATTGATCCTGATCATTAATATTTATCTCATCTTATAACAATTACGTAACAGAAACGTACAAAATAAAGAAACAACATCTGATATAATTAGTATAGAAGTGAGTTAATTTATCATTGCTTTTTTATGTTCAATCAAATAATTATGAAAGATAGAATATCCTGAAAAGTATCTATTTTCTTGAATATTAAAATAACCAAATCGGTCGTCAAAGTAAACTTTTTAAGAAGGTTTAATCTAAGATTAGTACAAGTATAATCAAATTTTTATCCAATTGTTTTTGGAAAGCTTCAGATGTCAAAAGAATGTGAATACATGAATGCAAATTAATCTAAATAAAATTAAAATTAAATCAGCATTACGCATCAGCTTGAATACAGGTTGAGAAAATGAAAAATGGACTTCTTTCATAGATTTCTTAACAAGTAATTTGAATAACTTGTTAACGGAACTCGTAATAGTTCGAAAACGATATAAATCAAACTTTATGTGTATGCATGATTCTAACCTATTATTATTTAATTTCTATCGTCATTTATTTATTCAATTTCGCTACAACAGAGCTACTGTTTACTTCTTTTATTCATTGTAAAAGAACTTAAAATGGTCAGTTGATTATATCGTACAGTAGTTCAATTTTATTATTATGTGTATCGTATGTAGAAACTCAGTTATATATTTGTTGTTCATGATCCTCTTCTTAAACTAATCATGTATTGACTATTATTGAACGATTAAATAGTGGACTTTATTCTATCAATTGCTTCACTGAATATAGAGAGTAAAATAAAATAAAAGAGTTTGAGGCATGAACCAATCGTTTTGATGGTGTCTATAATAATAAGCATTTGATCATCATAGGTAGAGGCAATTATATATACATAACCAAAAAGTAGTAATACGACACAATTATAAGTCAACTGTAAATCAATCGAAGCAAAGTAAAAAAAGTAAGTTGTGACATAATTTCTAGTTCACCGACAACTTTTCTTTAAGCTAAACAGATTAATTTACCCTATTAGTTTGTAAATCATGATATATTTATTGTCTAGATAGTTCTAACAGTCCGGAAATGTTAAAAAAACATGATTCTAATTAATGATTAACAGAATACTACTAGTAATTTATACTCTTTTTAACTACTATTTTGTCAAAACATAATGCACCACCAAAAGGACTTCGATATTAAACTTTTTTTCATATGAGTTCAAACAGCTTTTGCAATATACACTCGATCCGCATTTCTAGTATCAAATTTAAAATTAAGAATATTTTCCATGAAAGAACAAATTACTTTTTCTATATTGTTATTATTTAGTATATGACTGATGTGTTTATCAGATTAATATGATGAGGATATGAACGTTTTGTTTAATGTAAATATATATCCACTATCTGTGTATTAATTAAACTCTAACCTGTTTTTTGTTATTTCTAAATATGGATGAAACGATGATGATGATGTTCACGCTGAGTGAAGACTTAATTTTGTCATGTTTTCGAACGATGATGATAACAGATGAGCTATAAAGAATACGTCACCATGCATTCTGACGAGGAAACTCTCCCAATTGATAAATCGCTTTTTGCTCGAAACTTAGCGGATTATACGTAATCGATCGTGTTGATTCCGAATATCAACATCCCAGCTGCTGCTAGGCTGTCAGAGACTGGCTATGAAAAACTCGATCTCGACTTCAAAAGCCTGTTGACGTTAAAAATTTTCTTTGATCTGCCCAGATTAAAGACCGCATTGAGTAGCCTATAAAAACTGTTTTTTTGCAGTCCAGACTGATTTTTGAATTAGAGAAAAATCATTCGTACTTGAAACACGCTTTCTTAGCATTCGTGAGGGGAAGAAATATGCCTATATGTGCGTCAGAAATCATTCTAAAAATAACAGACACCAGCTTTTCATAGGGTATTCGATGCACTCTTGACAGGACAGCGCTAGAGAGAAAAGTTGATGCGATAATGAGAACTGCCACTTTTTTGATGAAAACTTGTGCAATTTTAGATAAAACAAATCTTCTTGTAAAACATTTGTGAAATTTGAGATTTTAAAGCATACTGTCTCACGGACACTGAAAAACATTTATGCTTCAATTACTCTACTGAAATCTCAATCAGAATCCTGTACTGTCTCGTATCGTTCATTGACTTTGATAACTTCATTTAACTTATGATTGGAAGGTTTCACAGCATGATGAAAACCCTTATTGAACGCATATCTTATACTATTAGACTAGAGCAATCTATTGCTGACAGATACCAGATATTAGTATATCCGAATATTGCTGATTTCTTGTGTGCTTTGCAGACACACTGCTGAGTAAGTCATTTATCCTGCGAAAATAATCAACTTTCTAACATCAGCAGATGTCAACTCTTTAAAGGCTAAAGAAAGCACACAACAGAATGAGTTTTCTGACGTTGTTCAACGTGTCGTTTCCATTGTATGCAACAAACTTCGTAGTTTTACGACGAGAAGGCTAATTGTACCGAAATGCACCGGATAACAGAGTAAATTTGCTACTTTAACCCACAAGAGCCCCGTTTCCCATTTTACGAGGCCATGGTGTTTATGGCTAGTTTCTGCTACTAACCACGATTCATTTTTATGCCATCCTCTCCCGTCTCCGTAGAAATTCAGGTCTCTGAAATCTAGGTGAAAATTCTCGTGATATAATGTCTGATACAAAAGATTGTAGTTCAACTGGAATCATAAACGAAGTACAGTATTTATCCTAACGATAATTTTTCACCGAGATATCATCCAGTTGTGACTATGCAGTTCTTAATTATAGGTAGAACATGGAACTTTTCGACAGCCATAAACGGCCAGTTTCGTTATTCCAGCAGAGAAA